AGCGTGCAGCACGGGAGCCGAGGACGAGCCCGACCCCACAGAGGCGACATGAGAAAGTGAAGTTTCTTCAGCCCGCAACCGGTATTTGACGGTGTGCGTTGCCGTCCTGTGGCGGGGACTACGCCAGGCTCACGAGCCTACGCTGCTCTGGTTCGAGCCTCTGAAGGAGAAGGCTCCCAGGAAATCACAGGGTAATTATTGATTACAGGCCTGGGTACGGAGCGAAGTCATCTTGAAGGGAGAATGGAGGTATTACCAGCTTCTTTGAAGACTCTCTGCTCCCATTATGTATGAGGTGTTTTATCAATACCCCTTCTTGGACGAGTAACATACATAATGCACGGGAAATTTCAGCTACTAATCTGGCTTGCAGAGCTCACCTCTTCGGTCTCCATCCTCAGGTTGTTCTTTCCTCCTCCATCTTTTTGCACAGCTTTGGTTTGCAAGGCGCCGCCGCCAACGCCACTTGCAGAGCTGCAGAGCCCTCCTCCCTCGCGCTGACGCGCTAATTCACAGCCTATTTGAAGAAATAGGGTGATCGAGCTGGGCTGAGCTGAAAGGCACAGCTTTGCTTCAGGTCTACACCTCCGGTACAGGGACCCGACTGAGGAACTCCAGACTCAAGAATATAAAAGCGTGGTTTTGCAAAGCTAAAGGACTTCATCCGGTGAGGACGGCGGCACGGCATGGCATGGCACGCAAAGAGCAGAGCCCCAGGGCTGCTGCTCGTCACAGGGCAAAGGAAAACTCTTGTGTGTCTCCAATTTCCTCTGCCCTTGTTGCTCTAATGAGCCATCTGGTCTGCAAACACACAACCGTTCCTCGCTGCAGCGTCCAGCACTGCCATGCTTTCTGCAACCGCAACCGCTACCGTTATAAAGCACAAATAAAGAAAAGTCAGGAAATTCATGGCTGGCCAATTTAACATTGCCTTTTCCATTTCACAGACCCACAAATCAAGCAAATCATGCCTAGGCTTCAAAACAATAACAGGGTCAATTTTTCTTCTTCATATATAAAGGGGGCTAATGACTATGATACATTAAGACCAATTAATCACTTTTCATTATAAATGTTCAGTGATTTTTCTGAGGTGTAACACCTTGAAGTCATGCTGCAGAGAAGAAAAACAACTTTTTCCTTGCTCAATGAAATTCCACGTTGAGCACCAGCCATGACACAAATTGTTGAAAATTCCAGTTTTTCAATTACATTTAAAAAAAAAAACTGGCTGCATAGGCTAAACTGGACAGCCAGTGAGCTGACAACCCCTGGAGGTGCTGGGAAAGCAGCTTCAAGCTTCTCATGTCAGCTTCAAGCTGTGCTACAGCATCAGTGCTTCAAATTCAAACTTTACCACCGACGAGTTATAGGGAGGAATGGTTAATTCTGTATTTAGAGTGCTTTTAAATACTTTTCCCCCTTTTAATAGTAACTTAGAAAATGAAAGGCACTTTGGAAAACTCTAAAACACAGGATGAGCTGCTGGAACAGCAAATGCCAGAATTCAGCTTGCCTTTGCCTTGATAATGCGTGCGCACTTGGCAGCCAGACGAGGATAGCATAACGGAACGGTTATGATGATGTTTCCACCGTCAGCGCAGGGGTTGCTGGAAGGTGCTCGGTGTTGGAAGGGGGACTGGTGTCTTGCTTCCCTAAGAGCCCGGAAAAGTAAAGCAAAGAGCTACATGTGTTTCAGGCGGTCGCCAACTGCGCTGCTCCGTCCGTCCACGCAGCGGTGGAGGCCGCGCAGTCACCTCCAGCCCCAACGCGCCGGCGCAGGGATAACGCCGCGCCGGCTGCCGCCGCCAAGGAGAGACGGCTTTCTGCAACCCGCAAGAGCGAGCCTTTACTTTCTGAATTTGCAGATCTCTCTGCTTTTGTTATCTCAAAAGTTGCTTGTCACTATTTCTCTGTCGGTGAGGAACTGTGTCTTAATAGTTGGCACAAAAGTAGCTGCAGAAAATTGACCATGGATTGAGAAGTGCTTCATCCCGAAAGCACTTTACACGTTTTTGTTAAATAAGGAACCTCTTTAATGGGTTTGGCAGAAGCAAAACGCTTCCTATCCTCAGGTGATGCTAGCACAGAAAAAAATAAAATAAAATTTGCTATAAGCACTGATTAAAAAAGAAAATATCCAATAATCAGTCCTTACTGCAAAAGCGCTTGATGATGGAACTTGTTGCCTAATATCGAAGAACTTTAAGCAGTCATATTTACAGGGAAGGGGGGAAAAGAAGAGCCAAAGGTTTTGACGATTCCTTGGAAGAGCTGCTGATGGACAGACATGTAAGGAAACCAGTGTGATGAGAAAAAGCCTTCCCAGCTTTGGATCCTCATGCTCTCACTTATGTTTATTCTGCATTTTTAAGTGCCTGGAGAAATGAGCAGGCACTTTCAAATGTAAATGTGAAAAAGTAAATAAATACCAAATTCCTAATTTAGCATACTGCATTTCTGACTTACAGATAAATTGAAATGTAGAATGTAATCCATTATAATGCGGTTTTTACCTTACCTTTCTACTAAATAACTTTTAAAAATAGTTTCTTCAAATTTTTGACATGTATTTCCACATTCATTCTAATACTAACCTTTTCTATTTTATGAAAGTATTGCTAGGAGAAAGTAAGAGAAGAATAGAAATGCTATCACATCATTGTGATTTGTGCCAATTAATTCTTCGTTAGCATTTCCATTACGTACGTGCGGCTCCATAAAACACGCACACCTGCTGTCAGTCCAAGAACAAATAACTGAACTAAATTAAAAAAACCTGGACCTGCACATGTTGTAACGAGAAAACCGCACTCCGGTCCTCCCAGCACCAAACCTGAGATACAGAAGGTCAAACCCCGTTAGGACCACTGCTGCCCAGCACGTGGCCAGCTGGACCACCAGCCGCATCCTTCACAATGCCACGGGTGCTGCAGCGAGGGCTGGCAAGCGATGCTCACAGCCACCGGCCACGGCCCGTCCCAGCCCTGCAGGCACCTCTCAGCTGGGTTTTGCACTTGGACGCTGCTGGATCTTTCCTTCCCCTCCCCCAAAAAATTAGAGGGTGACGACTGCTTTCCCTCAAGGAGCTTCCTATTAACAAATATACTTATTTTTCCTCTTTTAAATCATCTTCAGTCTCTTCCAGCGTTGCCTGCACAGGACGGCTGCTGCTGAGGGAAGGACCAAAGTCCCCCACCAACTCTGACCGTAAGCCAAGGCAAGACCGCTCAGGGTGAAACCCCAAAACAACAGCTAAAACAACATCAGCAGCGCTTAGACAAAAGAATTTCACTAGCCAAGCTAAAAGGAATTCGGTAGCCAATTTAGGAAAATTAATAAAAGTAAAAGCATTACTTTAAATGCTTTATAATCTGGTGGATAATCTGGGAGGCAGAATTCCCCTGATGTTATTCAAGGATGGAAGGAACAACAGCAGTAACTATTTCCCATCCAGCTTTGCCCATTCGCGTTCACACCGACCCTAACGTTTTTAAAACGCAGGTCTTAATTTCATCCCAGTTAATAAAAAAGAGTCCTCAAATGATAATTCAATCACCTAGAAGACCATACTTCATGAGCATTTTGGCAATTTTGACATTGTCGTGTCATTAGTGCTTATTCTCCCACATGCTAATCGGATGGTTTCACTAAAGCTTCTAAATGAAATTTTTTCGCAGTTGATCAAAATGACGTTTGTATAAAAATTAGAGGGAGACGGTGCAATACACAACTTAGTTTAAAAAATACTCAGCACCCACCCAGTAATTTGACTATGAAAGATGTCGCACTGGGAATTTTCATAACGTCGCTGAAGAAGTACAGAAGCGCATCACGGAAACAAGGCACAGCACGAAGCTCACACAACTTAAGGACTCCCACCTTCTGAAAGCAACAGCCCGGTTACCTGCAGAAGGCTCGGCACAACTGCATTTTGACTGTGTTCTCCTTGCAGCTGCCATCAGCTAATTAAGAATGAGAAAGTGTATCAGCAAGAAGAAACCCACTGTTTACAGGAATTTGAATAAAACCAGTGATTAGCAGTAGAGACAGCTGAGTTCTTGCAGATACTTCTCGCAGAGGCGTGCCTGCCAAAACAGCCCTTCCTTTCCCCAGGTAGAACTGGCCGTTGTTTTACACAGGTACTGACGCATAGTCCCTACGCCTTGAAATAAAAACGCATGCACCCATATTTAAAAGGTGTCTATCGCCTTTTAACCACAAAAAAAAGAAGTACATCTATTTTAGAGTTTATACAAAAACCAGCGCTATCTTGCCTCGCGTAAGGTAGAAAATACTAGCCCCTTTCTGGTGCTCTATTATTACGGAATATCATACGGTTAAAAAATAGATCTATTAAACTGACGATTTTATTCGCTGGGAAATGATGACATTCATGGACAGACCAGAAAAGTCTGGAAAAAGCAGACTTCTGAGTTGTTTTGTTTTTTTTTTTTAAATAATGAGATCTATTTCATTTCAAGTGACTGACTTCTGCTATGAGGTCTCCAGGAACACAGCCAGTAAATGGAGAATGGTAAGGAGAAACTTTTCTCAGGTCTTGTTTTTATCTAAACACACGAGTACCATAACTAGTTTGTAACAATACTTGTTCTTTCTTTAAGAAAATCAAAATATTATCTATAACAACTTTGAGGAATAAAAACATAGCTACCTTACGCAACCTATCACCGACTGCTTCTATGGCCCATGTCTACTGACATGGGCATGTCTAAGCCTCAACCCCCCCGTTGCTGGCAAAAAGCTAGTTTAAGTGACTAACAACCTCACTGAAAAGCTCACTGCCCTTCAGATGTGTTCATCCTCAAACCCTTCAGGCAGCAACTGTCGGGAGCTGAACCG